TTTGACATCTTTGATACAAGTAACGAGTTCACTTCCAAGTGAACAACCCGATAGTCTTCTTCTTATCATAGCATACCAACCAGCGAACACCCAGCCAAGTTTAGTTAGCCAGTTTGAGTATTCGTTACAGTCGAGTATTAAAGATAATAATATAAGAGATTATTATATACTATTTAAACTTATAGTAGTAATCTCTCTAATCTATATACGCTTACTAATTAGTATTAGTATAAGAGATACTTATAAACAAGGTTAAAATAATAGTAATAAAAGTATATAAAAGTTAGTATAATAGTTAGTTAATTAATTTTATAGAAAGAACGAGTACTAGCTATAAGTACTCGTATATACTATACTTTCCGATATCTACGTAATAAAAGTAGTAGATATATCGTAATACTTTTAAAATAAATCGAGTTCTTAAGATTAAAACTTAACTATTTAATAAAGAAGCTAAATAATTCTTATAATCGTCTTTTAAAAGTAAGTTAAATATAACTATTCGAGGCACTTCTATACTAGGGGTAGGAAAATAAGATAAATAGTATACTCTCTAGGGGAATAAGTAAGGGTTAGTACTATTAATATTTATAGTAAAAGTAGAATAAATAAGAGGTAAAAAGTATTAAATTATTAGAATCTAGAAAATAAAAGTAACGGAGGAACTTAAATCCTTATACTCCTAAAGGTTATACTATATCCCTAGCCCGTTAATTACTCCCTAGCCCCCCCCCGCCTCTTTACTTAGCGAGTTACTAAAAAATCTAACTCCTAGCCTCTCGAATACTAAAGAATAGGCTTATAGTAGTATTATATATGTATAGTATAGTTTCTATAAGTACTAGGTATTCCTAGGCTTTAGATATATTTCTTTTACCCCTTAATTATGTAGGATAAAGGGGGTAGATAAGTAGCTATAGTAATATTAGTACTAAAATTAGTTAATAAATCAAAACAACCTAGGAGTATAGATCGGTTTAATTAAATTAGCTCGAAATACGCTGGTAAAGCTTAAATTGTAATACGGATACTAGACGTCTAATACGGCGACCAGACGTCCGGTACGCATATTCCTCGTATACGCTAGCACAATAGACCACGTCCAACGAACAGTCAAGTCGCCACGTTTAGTGGCCTGATCGAATCTGACATGTCTTGGCATGTGTCGAAAGTTGTCGTTTACACGTTCACGAAAAATGGCATCACGACCCCTCGACTCCACGGTGTCATTATTTCTCGCAGTTCTCCAGGCGAACCTTCTGGCGTAGAATCGGTACAACGTGGAGAAGATACTGGAGGCGAACCTTCTGGTGTAGAATCGGTAGAACCAGAAGATTCTGATGTAGAATCGGAGGATTCTTTTGAAGACGGGGTACCGATAATTTCTCTGAATAATAAAAATAAGAGACCATGAGACTCCGACGAGGAAAAATCTCCAATTAAACTTAACCAGGAAACATCTAATTTATTTGTTCCTTATCCGCCTAATAAACAAAGAAAAACTAAATAAGGTTAGTAGATAATAAATACAGGTATTAAGTATGTTTTTTTTTGTTCACTTGTAATAACTTAAAACCCGTTTTTTTTATAAGGTTTTGCGTATGCCTCCTCCTCCTCTACTGGGTGTGTCATGCCATGCTTCTTTGCTGTACTTCTTTGCTTCTGTGCAAGGCAAAAGAAGTATGCAAAGCAAAGAAGTAGGGGATGCTCCAGATGTCAAGATATTAAGCGAGTTTTTCTGTCTCCAAAAAATCCACATTCCTCTGACAGCGCCAAAAGGTTAAGCGAGAAACCAAGAATGCAACCATGAAAATCCCTCAACCCCACATCAATGGGGCATCCAAACCTTGCGTCGTGACTATCCTTTACCATCTCTCTTTCCTCACAATGGAAGATCCGGTCCCAAAGCCCAAAGTAATAATAATAGGCGTCGGTTTCGCCGTACGTCCCCCCACTCGCCTTCCCCCCCTCCATCCCACAACAAGCACCCAACTAAACCCCAACCCAGGGCCTAACCCTCTCCCTCCTCCTCGCCAAAAACCACATCCCCTCCCTCATCTACGAAGCCCGCCCGCAGACCCACACCTAAGGCGGCACCATCGCACTCGCGCCCAACGCGCTGCGCGTTCTCAACCACTGTGGGGTCTACGAACAAATCCGCGCGCTCGGCTACGCCTATGAGAAAATAGCATTCTGCACGGGGTCTGGGAAGAAGCTGGGAGATTTCTGGAATGGGGGGGGGG